TGAAGGTTTGGTGAATCCAAAGTGTGATGCAACTGATCACGATATGCCCCACCATGTTACCCGCATGGTCTTGTTTCCACCACATGGGAAAGGCAGCTGGTCGGGAAAAGAAAAAAAGAATTCCATCCATCGGAGAAGTGCCTGTAAGTTTGCATTTACTCAATCCAAACAGATTTACTTATTGTTAACTCGTTTCTTGTATTGCAGAAACCAAAAACCCAGAAAACCAGCACTAATCGGTGTGGCTGTTGTAAAATTCAAGGCCACAATAGGACAAGTTGAAAGCACGAGAAATGAAGATGGTGCATTTCTTATCCAATGATACATCCTTGGATAGGTACTGGACCAACTTCCCTTTATTTAATGCTGAAGGTCCGTAAGAAACTTTTTTTGTGTTTTGATCTACAACTATTGTAAGCATCCACGCCTAATATGGTTTTTTTGTTATCCACAATTAATATGGATGGTTTGTTATCCACGGGACCTGTGTTTTGTGATCAACCATATTCTTAATGTTTTGTCATCAACTTCTTTTATGATGGATGATGCTTAGTTTTATTAAATCTACTATGTTCTACCTATAATCCCCCGCAACTATCATGCATTAAGTCAACACACTTAAAAACATCAGAAGAGTGTCTTCTTCCTTTAAGTGGTCGTAAATGTGGTCCATTAAGTATGTATCCATGTCTTTTTATCCACGCCTCATTACTAAGTGTTAGCAGCTACTGCAGCATTTTGTTTAAATCATCATTTAAAAGATTTTGGAAAAATGTTGATGTAACGTTTTAAAGTAGATTATTTTATTTCTGTGTCCTGACACATTTCCATATGTGATAAGATAGTTGTGGGTGGGAAGAACATTTCAGATGGAGGAAACTTTTTCAATATTCCTCCCAAAATCACCACCTCACCCGACATGATGTTTCCAAGCGGGAAACAAATGTTTTCAATATTCCCCCCCCCCCCCAAAACTCCCACCTCATTCGACATGATGTTTCGAAGCGGGAAAATAAATGTTTTTCAATATTTTAAATTAAAAAATTATGTATTGGCGGGAAACACTCCAATTATTTCGATTAATTTACATATTCCCCATTCTCTTCATTTCAAAACCAATTCATTCCCATTTGTACACTAAAAAGGTACAAAAACACCAAACATGGGGCTCGATTACCTCCATCAGTGCTCACTAAAGTCGCATCTTGCCTTGCTAAAGAAGGTGTAGAAGCTTTAACCAATCTTCTAGTTTGTTCTCCTGCTGGTGTAGCTGCTGTCCTTCACCCCGAAACACTCCATGTCGTCCGCCTTGACAAATGTCGATGTTTCCCTTGGTGGGCGGATCCAATTTCTTGGTGGTACCACTTTTACCAGAAGTGCCTCCGTGCCAAAAATCCATATGCCCTTTATGTTGATTGCTTGAGGCTTGCTTTCAATGTTGGTGAGATTCAGGCGCCTCTCTACATTCTCAACGATATCAAAGACATCTACCCTATGGCGAAGTTAACCTTTATTATTCTGTCGTCGTGTGCCGGCCAAGATTGTGAGCAAGTGTACCAAGATATCTGAGCTAAACACCGATTTTCAGAGGTTCAAGAGATGGGCAGTGACCTAATTTATCACATCAATGCTGTAGATCCCAAAATGGTTGATGCTTTCGGCCATACTTAGAAATTTGGGGATTACCCAGATTGTTGGGAGCTATCCCCCATGTTGTACCATGGCGACAATGAAAGATGTATCGACTGCGTTTTCTTCTACCTATCAAGGGAAATTTGCAGTATGACCTAGGAAGTGTCCCAAGTAGCTTATTATGTTTCCATACTAATCCTTTTCAGTATGATGTTCATCTTTTCTCTGTTTTTTAGTAGTTCTAATTTCTTGTACTTCTCTTGTAACCATTAATCCTATCACCTTTCGTTCTCAATATTAACCACGCGATTCTCGTCCACCATACTGTATCCATGAACTAATATCCACGACCAAGTGACCAAAATAACACATGTACCATCCCAGATAAGTTACTTTCTAGAAACACTCTTACTAAAATAAAACAAGTGTTAATCTGTATTAATTTTTCCAATAAATTCATTTCATATCCACAATATATAAAAAAAACAATGAAAACTAGTAATAAACTGAACTAGGGATCACTGAACTACTAAATCATGATATCCACGCGATCCTCGTCCACCAGATTGTATCCATGATCGACTGACCATCACTAGTAAGTTACTTTCTAGAAACACTCTTACTAAAATAAAACAAGTGTTAATTTGTATTAATTTCTCCCATACATTCGTTTAATATAAAAGCCGCACACGATGTCCTGAAAATAACTACATTCGAAAATTTATCCACGGCATATAAAACAATCAAAACTAAATTATCCAAATTTTTACATGCTATCCATGCGATCTACGTCCACCAGAATGTATCCATTTGTTATCATCCACGACTAAGTGACCACGGTGTACCATCCACGGAGTGTAATAGAATATACAAGTTCCTTTCCACTTGCATTAATTCAAACCCACATGTACGTTACTTGAACTCAAAATAAAATAAGACTTGGGACAAATACATTTACAAAACGCTAACCGTTAAGTTTCAAATACAAAAACCATACCTTCAAGTTTTTAACATAATAAGGCTAACCAAACACTGCCATAAGTTTAACAAAATAAGTCATACATAAGTTTGCAATGTTTCTAAAGTGCTGAAACCGCTATCAAAGTCTCTACGTCATCGACGCAGCTGCCCTACGGCCTACGTATAACGGGACAACCATATCCTGGTAAATGTCCATTGCATATTGTTTGCGGAAGTGATTCACCAGTTCGTCTGTCATGTTCGCCATTGCATCGCC